ATAATCTCTGAATTTACAGAACCAGAAAACTGGCTCTAGCTTGCCTATGAGGTCTAAATGAAATCCTTAGTATCAGGCTTAGACTCTAATGAACTATTGGGGGGAGAGAAAACAAAAGCCAGATCGAAGAAAGTCTCATCACATGGAAACTCCCCTGGAAGACTAGCCTTTCCCTCAGATCGCAGTTCTAATTGCCAACACTGTCGGCAGAAATTGCTCATTGCGTTCCTGTATTCCCAGATGGTTCTGCCGTTTTAGACTTCAGAAATCGAATATTGTTTCGTAAGTTTTCTCATTTTCGTTCTTATTAAACATTCACCCCTGTTTGGCAGGAAACATATTCGCTTTCACTGATGCCATTATGGGGGAATTTCTGCAGTGATGCATTTTTGTATTGTGGCTTTTATCATGAAAACAAAGGCGGTATACATTCTGAATTGTCAAGAGAGTCAACCAATCTGTTGTGAAGTCAACAATAATGGTTGGCTAAAATGGATCTTATTGTTTCCTTTCCTTTTCTGGATGTAGACTTGGACAGATTTTTGCTCATCTTTTGATGTTATCTTGTTAATAATGAAATAAAATCTGGTACATTGCTTCAGACTAGTACTTGTTATATTATCACTAACAGACTAGTACATATTGTATTTTTACTAACAGACTAGTAGATAGTACATCTTATATTATCACTAGTACTTGTTGTCTTCTTCCTAACAAGTACAAGCTAAATACTCACTAACAAGTATGTGTTAATTTCTCGCTAACAAGTACGTGTTATAATCTCACTAAACAGTACGAATTCTGTTCTCAGTAACAAGTATGTGTTATTTTCTCACTAACAAGTATGTGTTAATTTGTCACCAACAAGTACATGTTAAATTCTCATTAATAAGTACGTGTTGTATTCTCTTTTTTGTCAGATGACATGTTTATTCTCAATACATGTACATATTATCTCCTCACTAACAAGTACATTATAAATTCTCTCTAACAAGTATGTGTGTCGTTCTCATTAACAAGAGCGTGTTATATTTTCACCAACAAGTACGTGTTAAATTCTCGCTAACATGAGCGTGCTATAAGCTCACTAACAAGTACGAATTATATTCTCACTTACAAGTGTGGGTGGGTTATATTCTCTTATATGTGTGATGACATATTTATTCTTACTAACAGACAAGGACGTTTATATTTTCACTAATAAAGACACGTTATGTTCTCACCAACAGACTAGTCGATATGATCTTCTCACTAACTGACTAGGACATTCTGTATTCTCACTAACGGACGAGGACATTCTGTATTCTCACTAATGGACTAGGACATTCTGTATTCTCACTAATGGACTAGCACATGTTAACGGATTCTCACTAACACTAGCACATGTTGCAATCTCACTAACGGACTAGGACATTCTGTATTCTCACTAATGGACTAGGACATTCTGTATTCTCACTAACGGACTAGGACATTCTGTATTCTCACTAACGGACTAGGACATTCTGTATTCTCACTAACGGACTAGGACATGTTACATTCTCACTAACGGACTAGGACATGTTACATTCTCACTAACGGGACATGTTTTTATTCTCACTACACTGTACATTCTCACTAACGGACTAGGACATGTTACATTCTCACTAACGGACTAGGACATGTTACATTCTCACTAACGGACTAGCACATGTTACATTCTCACTAACGGACTAGGACATGTTACATTCTCACTAACGGACTAGCACATGTTACATTCTCACTAACGGACTAGCACATGTTACTCTCACTAACGGACTAGTGTTACATTCTCACTAACGGACTAGGACATGTTACATTCTCACTAACGGACTAGGACATGTTACATTCTCACTAACGGACTAGGACATGTTACATTCTCACTAACGGACTAGGACATGTTACATTCTCACTAACGGACTAGCACATGTTACATTCTCACTAACGGACTAGGACATGTTACATTCTCACTAACGGACTAGCACATGTTACATTCTCACTAACGGACTAGCATGTTACATGCACATGTTACAATCTCACTAACGGACTAGCACATGTTACATTCTCACTAACGGACTAGCACATAACGGACTTGCAATGTTACAATTCTCACTAACGGACTAGCACATGTTACATTCTCACTAACGGACTAGGACATGTTACATTCTCACTAACGGACTAGGACATGTTACATTCTCACTAACGGACTAGGACATGTTACATTCTCACTAGCGGACTAGCACATGTTACATTCTCACTAACGGACTAGGACATGTTACATTCTCACTAACGGACTAGCACATGTTACATTCTCACTAACGGACTAGCACATGTTACAATCTCACTAACGGACTAGCACATGTTACATTCTCACTAACGGACTAGCACATGTTGCAATCTCACTAATGGACTAGCACATGTTACATTCTCACTAACGGACTAGCACATGTTACATTCTCACTAACGGACTAGGACATGTTTCATTCTCACTAATGAACTAGCACATGTTACATTCTCACTAACGGACTAGGACATGTTACATTCTCACTAACGGACTAGGACATGTTACACTCTCACTAACGGACTAGCACATGTTACATTCTCACTAACGGACTAGGACATGTTACATTCTCACTAACGGACTAGCACATGTTACATTCTCACTAACGGACTAGCACATGTTACATTCTCACTAACGGACTAGCACATGTTACATTCTCACTAACGGACTAGCACATGTTACATTCTCACTAACGGACTAGCACATGTTACATTCTCACTAACGGACTAGCACATGTTACATTCTCACTAACGGACTAGGACATGTTACACTCTCACTAACGGACTAGCACATGTTACATTCTCACTAACGGACTAGGACATGTTACATTCTCACTAACGGACTAGCACATGTTACATTCTCACTAACGGACTATCACATGTTACATTCTCACTAACGGACTAGCACATGTTACATTCTCACTAACGGACTAGCACATGTTACATTCTCACTAACGGACTAGCACATGTTACATTCTCACTAACGGACTAGCACATGTTACATGCTCACTAACGGACTAGGACATGTTACATTCTCACTAACGGACTAGGAAATGTTACATTCTCACTAACGGACTAGGACATGTTACAGTCTCACTAACGGACTAGCACATGTTACATTCTCACTAACGGACTAGGACATGTTACATTCTCACTAACATACTAGGACATGTTACATTCTCACAAACGGACTAGGACATGTTACAATCTCACTAACGGACTAGCACATGTTATATTATCACTAACGGACTAGGACATGTTACATTCTCACTAACGGACTAGCACATTGTGTTCTTTTGTATTTTTTTTTCTTTTTGTGTGTGTGCGTGCATTGCATTCTTGTGCATTGTGTTCTTGTGCATTGTGTTTGTGTGCCTTCTTGTGTGTTGTCTTTGTGTCATTGTTTTTGTGTGCCTTCTCTTCTTGTGTGTTGTCTTTGTGTCATTGTTTTTGTGTGCCTTCTCTTCTTGTGTGTTGTCTTTGTGTCATTGTTTTTGTGTGCCTTCTCTTCTTGTGTGTTGTCTTTGTGTCATTGTTTTTGTGTGCCTTCTCTTCTTGTGTGTTGTCTTTGTGTCATTGTTTTTGTGTGCCTTCTCTTCTTGTGTGTTGTCTTTGTGTCATTGTTTTTGTGTGCCTTCTCTTCTTGTGTGTTGTCTTTGTGTCATTGTTTTTGTGTGCCTTCTCTTCTTGTGTGTTGTCTTTGTGTCATTGTTTTTGTGTGCCTTCTCTTCTTGTGTGTTGTCTTTGTGTCATTGTTTTTGTGTGCCTTCTCTTCTTGTGTGTTGTCTTTGTGTCATCGTTTTCTTGTGCCTTCTCTTCTTGTGTGTTGTCTTTGTGTAATCGTTTTCTTGTGCCTTTTCTTCTTGTGTGTTGTTTTTGTGTAATCGTTTTCTTGTGCCTTCTCTTCTTGTGTGTTGTTTTTGTGTAATCGTTTTCTTGTGCATTGTTTTTGTGTGCCTTCTCTTCTTGTGTGTTGTCTTTGCGTGCCTTCTCTTCTTGTTTGTTGTTTTTGTGTAATCGTTTTCTTGTGCATTGTTTTTGTGTGCCTTCTCTTCTTGTGTGTTGTCTTTGCGTAATCGTTTTATTGTGCATTGTCTTCTTGTGTGTTGTTTGTGTGTCATTATTTTCTTGTACACTCTCTTTTTGTCTGTTGTTTTTGTGTCATTGGTTTTTTTTGGTTTTTTTTTGTACATTTTCTTCTTGACATTGTTTTCATCGTTGTCTTTTGTGTGCTGTCTTTGTATTGTTGATTTCTTGTGTTGTTGTTTTCTTGTGCATTGTCTTCGTGTGCACTGATTTGCTGTATAAAGCTGGCCACTGACGTTTCTCATAAAAGTAGCAGGTAATTACCGGCACCCAACATTCTCTTACAGTGTGAGTCGTAGTGAAGATGTCAGATATCATGTCTGTTGATCGTTCTCTGATGTCTGATGTCATATTTGTTCAGCGTTCATCGTTGCTGGATGTCATATTTGTTGAGCGTTCATTGTTGTTCGATGTCATATTTGTTATACGTTTGTGGTTGTCTGATGTCATATTTGTTATACGTTTGCGGTTGTCTGATGACATATTTGCTGAGCGTTCATTGTTGTCTAATGTTATATTTGTTTAGCGTTCACTGTTGTCTGATGTCATATTTGGTGAGCGTTCACTGTTGTCTGATGTCATAATTCGTGAGCGTTCATTGTTGTCTGATGTCATATTTGGTGAGCGTTCACTGTTGTCTGATGTCATATTTGGTGAGCGTTAACTGTTGTCTGATGTCATATTTGGTGAGTGTTCACTGTTGTCTGATGTCATATTTGTTTAACGTTCACGGTTGTCTGGTGTTATATTTGGTGAGCGTTCACTGTTGTCTGATGTTATATTTGGTGAGCGTTCACTGTTGTCTGATGTCATAATTCGTGAGCGTTCATTGTTGTCTGATGTCATATTTGTTTAACGTTCACTGTTGTCTGATGTTATATTTGGTGAGCGTTCACTGTTGTCTGATGTCATATTTGGTGAGCGTTCACTGTTGTCTGATGTCATATTTGGTGAGCGTTCACTGTTGTCTGATGTCATATTTGGTGAGCGTTCACGGTTGTCTGATGTCATATTTGTTTAACGTTCACGGTTGTCTGGTGTTATATTTGGTGAGCGTTCACTGTTGTCTGATGTCATATTTGGTGAGCGTTCACTGTTGTCTGATGTCATATTTGGTGAGCGTTCACTGTTGTCTGATGTCATATTTGTTTAACGTTCACGGTTGTCTGGTGTTATATTTGGTGAGCGTTCACTGTTGTCTGATGTCATATTTGGTGAGCGTTCACTGTTGTCTGGTGTCATAATTCGTGAGCGTTCACTGTTGTCTGATGTCATATTTGGTGAGCGTTCATGGTTGTCTGATGTCATATTTGTTTAACGTTCACGGTTGTCTGGTGTTATATTTGTTTAACGTTCACGGTTGTCTGATGTCATAATTCGTGAGCGTTCATTGTTGTCTGATGTCATAATTCGTGAGCGTTCATTGTTGTCTGATGTCACATATGTTTAACGTTCATTGTTGTCTGATGTCACATATGTTTAACGTTCACGGTTGTCTGGTGTTATATTTGGTGAGCGTTCACTGTTGTCTGATGTCATAATTCGTGAGCGTTCATTGTTGTCTGATGTCACATATGTTTAACGTTCACTGTTGTCTGATGTTATATTTGGTGAGCGTTCACTGTTGTCTGATGTTATATTTGGTGAGCGTTCACTGTTGTCTGATGTTATATTTGGTGAGCGTTCACTGTTGTCTGATGTTATATTTGGTGAGCGTTCACTGTTTTCTGATGTCATAATTCGTGAGCGTTCATTGTTGTCTGATGTCATATTTGTTTAACGTTCACGGTTGTCTGGTGTTCAAGACTGTTTAACGTTCACGGTTGTCTGGTGTTCAAGACTGTTTAACGTTCACGGTTGTCTGGTGTTCAAGACTGTTTAACGTTCACGGTTGTCTAAATTTAAACACTGTTTAACGTTCACGGTTGTCTGGTTTTGAAGACTGTTTAACGCTCACGGTTTTCTGGTGCTGAACACTGTTTAACGCTCACGGTTGTCTAGTGTTAAAGACTGTTTAACGTTTACGGTTGTCTGGTGTTGAACACTGTTTAACGTTCATGGTTGTCTAATTTTGAACACTGTTTAACATTCACGGTTGTCTGGTGTTCAAGACTGTTAAACGTTTACGGTTGTCTGTTGTTCAAGACTGTTTAACGTTCACGGTTGTCTGATTTTGAAGACTGTTTAACGCTCACGGTTGTCTGGTGCTGAACACTGTTTAACGCTCACGGTTGTCTAGTGTTAAAGACTGTTTAACGTTTACGGTTGTCTGGTGTTGAACCCTGTTTAACGTTCATGGTTGTCTAATTTTGAACACTGTTTAACATTCACGGTTGTCTGGTGTTCAAGACTGTTAAACGTTTACGGTTGTCTGTTGTTCAAGACTGTTTAACGTTAATGGTTGTCTGGTGTTCAAGACTGTTAAACGTTCACACTTTTATGGTGTTGAAGACTGTTTAACGTTCACGGTTGTCTCCTGTTCAAGACTGTTTAACGCTCACTGTTGTCTCGTGTTCAAGACTGTTTAACGTTCACGGTTGTCTGGTGTTGAAGACTGTTTAACGTTCACTAATGTCTGGTGTTCAAGACTGTTTAACGTTCACTAATGTCTGATGTTCAAGACTGTTTAACGTTCATGGTTGTCTGGTGTTCAAGACTGTTTAACTTTCACGGTTGTCTGGTGTTCAAGACTGTGGTGGGCAGCTGTTCTCTCCAATGCACTGAAACGTTTTACCGTCATCGACACCATCAGCATGTTTTTGTGCCCTTTGCACATCAGACAAGAGTTGGCAGTCGATTCTGTGTATCAGCCAGTGATATTGCTATCCTGCACAGTCAGCTCATTTTCTGCTACACCTGCATGTCCTTCACAAGAAAAAAACGGTGTTTGTTTCGAGTCTGAAACCACCGCCCCGAGCTCATATCGCTCCAACCACCGCGCCGAGCTCATATCGCTCCAACCACCGCCCCGAGCTCATATCGCTCCAACCACCGCCCCGAGCTCATATCGCTCCAACCACCGCCCCGAGCTCATATCGCTCCAACCACCACCCCGAGCTCATATCGCTCCAACCACCGCCCCGAGCTCATATCGCTCCAACCACCGCCCCGAGCTCATTTCGCTCCAACCACCGCCTCGAGCTCATATCGCTCCAACCACCGCCCCGAGCTCATATCGCTCTAACCACCGCCCCGAGCTCATATCGCTCCAACCACCGCCCCGAGCTCATATCGCTCCAACTACCGCCCCGAGCTCATATCGCTCCAACCACAGCCCCGAGCTCATATCGCTCCAACCACCGCCCCGAGCTCATATCGCTCCAACCACCGCCCCGAGCTCATATCGCTCCAACCACTGCCCCGAGCTCATATCGCTCCAACCACCGCCCCGAGCTCATATCGCTCCAACCACCGCCCCGAGCTCATATCGCTCCAACCACCTCCCCGAGCTCATATCGCTTCAACCACCGCCCCGAGCTCATATCGCTCCAACCACCGCCCCGAGCTCATATCGTTCCAACCACCGCCCCGAGCTCCTATCGCTCCAACCACCGCCCCGAGCTCCTATCGCTTCAACCACCGCCCCGAGCTCATATCGCTCCAACCACCGCCCCGAGCTCATATCGCTCCAACCACCGCCCGAGCTCATATCGCTCCAACCACCGCCCCGAGCTCATATCGCTCAAACCACCGCCCCGAGCTCATATCGCTCCAACCACCACCCCGAGCTCATTTCGCTCCAACCACCGCCCGAGCTCATTTCGCTCCAACCACCACCCCGAGCTCATATCGCTCCAACCACCGCCCCGAGCTCATTTCGCTCCAACCACCGCCCCGAGCTCATTTCGCTGTGACGTGCCGTTGAATAAAGATGGTGTAATGTCATTCAATTTTTGGCTACATGTGTGTGTGTGTGTGTGTGTGTGTGTGTGTTAGAGAGAGAGAGAGAGAGTGAGAGAGAGAGAGAGAGAGAGAGAGAGAGAGAGAGAGAGAGAGAGAGAGAGAGAGAGAGAGAGGGGATGGAGACTAAGTACAAATTCTGTCAGTACATAATTACATGACATAATATCTCTTGTGGTCAGTTTGCAGATGTCTGGATGCTGGTGTCTACCTGCTCATGGGCTCGTCCACTGCACGCTCCTACAACATCATCCAGTCATACAGCCACGCCCTGCACGTGCCTTTCGTGGTGTACACACAGACGAGCAACCAGGCAGGCGACGGCTACGACTACGACCTTAGCACCAGTCCCAGCTACATCTACGCCGTCGCTGACGTCATCAAGTACTTTCACTGGCCAAAGATCTACTATGTCTTCGATTCTGATGACGGTAATCAATACAATCTTTAAACTATCTGTTTAGCTTATCAGTTTAATTTGTTTAGTTCTTCACAGTTTTGGTTGTTTATTTTTAAGTTCGTAAAAATGTAATGTGTCTTCTTAGTTCGGTATGTTTAGTTCTTTAAAGTACAATTCTTTATTTCGTCAAATTTAAGTATGTTTCTTCCATTAAAGAGCATTTTAGTTAGTTCTCAACAGGTTAGTTTGTTTAGTTTGTATTACGAGGGCGGTTTGAAATGTAATGCGTACAAGGAAATAATGTTGGTAAATTTTCTGAAATCTGTGGATGTTCTTTAAGTAAGGTGTCATTATTGTTTTTTTAACGTAGTCACCACCACGTTCAACACACACACACAAACACATACGAACACACAAACACATACGAACACACACACACATACGAACAAACACACACGGGCACGCTCAGACACACACACTCATCATTCATTTAAGTTGAACAAGTTATTGCAGACCGTCGGGAAAACATCGGATGGTTTGTTTTGTCGAAACCAAGACCGTATATTAGCTTCCACATCACCAGTAGCATTTCGGGTGTCAGATGATCACCAGTAGCATTTCGGGTGTCAGATCTTCACTGCTAGCATTTCGGGTGTCAGATCATCACTAGTAGCATTTCGGGTGTCAGATCTTCACTACTAGCATTTCGCGTGTCAGATCATCACTGTTAGCATTTCGGGTGTCAGATCATCACCAGTAGCATTTCGGGTGTCAGATCATCACTGCTAGCATTTCGGGTGTCAGATCATCACCAGTAGCATTTCGGGTGTCAGATCATCACATGGTAGCATTTCGGGTGTCAGATCATCACCAGTAGCATTTCGGGTGTCAGATCATCACTGCTAGCATTTCGGGTGTCAGATCATCACTGCTAGCATTTCGGGTGTCAGATCATCACCAGTAGCATTTCGGGTGTCAGATCATCACCTGGTAGCATTTCGGGTGTCAGATCATCACCAGATGCATTTCGGGTGTCAGATCATCACTGCTAGCATTTCGGGTGTCAGATTATCACCAGTAGCATTTCGGGTGTCAGATCATCACAGCTAGCATTTCGGGTGTCAGATCATCACCTGGCTGCATTTCGGGTGTCAGATCATCACCAGTAGCATTTCGGATGTCAGATCTTCACCTGTTGGCATTTCGGGTGACAGATCATCACTAGTAGCATTTCGGGTGTCAGATCATCACCTGGTAGCATTTCGGGTGTCAGATCATCACCTGGTAGCATTTCGGGTGTCAGATCATCACCTGGTAGCATTTCGGGTGTCAGATCATCACCAGTAGCATTTCGGGTGTCAGATCATCACCAGTAGCATTTCGGATGTCAGATCATCACCTGGTGGCTTTTCGGGTGTCAGATCATCACTAGTAGCATTTCGGGTGTCAGATCATCACCTGGTAGCATTTCGGGTGTCAGATCATCACCTGGTAGCATTTCGGGTGTCAGATCATCACCTGGTAGCATTTCGGGTTCCACATGTCCAAGCGTCTCATGCGTTGCCTGGCAGTATCTGTTCGATACATCTTCAACAAATGCTTGATTTGGTTACCACAACTGCAATAAAAGCAAACACATTAAGATAATCAGCACGCGACTACTCTACATATGAAGTCTGGAGAGAACAATCGCCATGCCTGTAACAGAGTAACACAATCTGGATAACACCCAGTCTATGTCCCATAGGGAGTACAGTACATGAATCACGGTGTCATATTTATAACCAAGCTAACTAGCATATTGACTCTCACCACAAGATAGAACCTCCCAACTTGGACAGACTATTCTACTTTTCTCTTGAAAGATAGGAATCTTCAAAGATATACCCTAATAAGGTACAGAATATCCGCACAATGACAGAGGATAATGATCGCTCATGACCA